TCTTTAAGATCATTGATTTCCTATGAAAAAGTAAAACAAAAATGGACTAGTCGAAAGTTTTTTTATTTTTCAAATCAAATATCTAACTTCATTTTTATTTTTCATAGCATCATCAAATTCTTCTTTTAATTTTTGCATTTCAGCTTGAAAATAATTTTGATTTTGTCTCAATTGTTCATTCATTAATCTTTCTTCATCAAAATCATGTTGAAGTTTTGTTATTTTAGTTAAAGAACGTTTTTCTTGTTGTTGTTTTTCTTTTGTGATTAAATCAAGTGTTGTTTGTAATTGTTGTGCATGTTCTTTTAATAATTTATTTGATTGTTCAAGTTCTTCGATTTTTTCATGTGTAGCATCTTCAACAAATTGTAATTTATCTTCAAAAAATCGTCGTTGGGATTCTAGTTGACTAGTTAACAAATAAGTATACTAAATTAAAACCAAAGAAAACAATTCTTTATAGTTAATTTATGAATTTGTTTTGTTTACTTCAAGTTCAATTGAATCAATTTTTTCTTGAGTTGTATCAATTTTTGATGTATTCTCATTATAATCGTCCTAAATTTAATCATAAAAAAAATGAGCAAAAGTAAAAGAAAAAACAAATTCTTACAATTTCATAGGTACTAACACCTTCACCACGTAATTCAACAAGTTTTCCATCACTTTTATTTTGTATTAGTCGATGAACATAATTGTCACCGACATAATCCCATACATGTTGTCGTTTTAAGTCCATTGTATATGTATGCTGAGTTGATTCAAAATGTCTAATATACATTTTAATTTTTGGTTTTAAATTTAAAAAAAAAATGCGTGGTCACACAATCTCCGAGGACTTAAAGTGTAAAAATAACTAAATCTGCTGACCTTATATCAAGAAGCATTTATTGATATATAATATGAATGAACGAAAAAACAGGAAGCTATCTTAAATTCAATCGTGTTTCATACTATTTGTGAAATAGACTTCGATCCGACTACTATGACTGTCATGGTCTACATTGAGTCATTGTTAAGATGTCTGATACATCTGTGGGGATGGTGGGAACTTTTTCTTCCCAAAAATATCAAACTTTCCGCTAAAATTTTTACACTCTAGTGGGAAATTCTGACGGAAAAATAACTTTTGCGTTTTTAGCTCTACTTCTGATATATATATGTACGAGTACACGTTTTCTCAGGCAAAATATCGCAAAGAATTGGCGATTGATGCATCTTTTGTTCAATGCCTGCCAGAGTATGAATTAACATGATTTTTGCTGACTTCTCAACCTCTCTCAACTTCAAAAAACATTCGGGAACTTTGTGTGATGGCAATGTTCAACTCGAACCAGATCCCAAAAATATTTCTGGATTTGCAGTCTGAACATTTTACCAATACAAAAACATTTTGAATGTTATTTTCATTGAAACGCTCTATCTGAAAGGATGGACAAGCTGATTGGAACAGGAAATTATATCTCGCATGATCTTTTCTTCTAGCTCATGGACGTTTCTTTATTAACATCTAACGACAGAGATACCTAGTGCATCGTCTGTTTAATGATGATAGCAGGATCACTTGTTGATTAAATAAGAAAAAATACCACCAGTTATTCGTGTTGTCCTATCCAATTCTCTATTCTTATACTTTCATACTGGAATCTATCAGATCTAATGTTTTTAGACATAGATCGTGACTTAGCCAAACCGTACTTTGATAATATCAATGAAATTTACTAATCGAAATTTGATAGTCGCCTGGAAGATACTAGATACTTTTTTTTATGCGATGACTAACGCATGGTACACACTTCTTAAACGACTAGAATCCGTTAGAGCCAAAGTTTTCGGATTCAGGCACAATAGGTTCGATTTTACACTCCTTTTAGATTGTAGTTCACAAAAAATCAAAGCCAAAACATGAATACATACCCAAAAGCATGACCTTGTTTAAATCGACTACAACCTACATGTCCACAAATTAAACAAATCCAAAGATCCTAATGAATATAGAAACAAAAAAGATATAATGAAAATGCTAATTTTAGATTTCTTTTACTTCTTGTGAACCACATTCAAAACATGATTGACCATCAATCATTTCTGGTGTTTGGACATAACGACAAACAGGACAACTATAAATTTTTAAATAAATTAAATAGAACAATCAATAATTTCATTACCAACTATCACCCCATTTAATAAGACAATCACCATGAAAAGAATGATTACATAGAATAGTCAATACTCCAGCAAGACTTTCATCCTTAAAAATAAAAAAATATATATTTAGCTAAACAAATAAGCGTCAAAACATTACCATTCTTTCTAGACAAATATAACATGGTGGTAATTCAGTAAGACCAGGAATAGGACATGATCCTTCCTAAATAGATATTTATAAAAAGTTATCTAAGATGAATAAAATAAAACAATAATTACTTTAGCTGTACTAGTTATATCAACTTTTGCAACAAATGCTAAATGACAAACACCTTTTTCAATTGAATTAAATTGACGATTATTATAATAGTCATAGAATTCATCAGCCTCTTTCTAAAAAAAACCCAAAACAACAGTAATAATGGAATATACAAATATTAAAATCATATTAAACAACAAGATAATTTAAAAATTAAAAACACTGTAGAAAAAAAAATTGTCACTGTCTTCGAATATTTAAAGTCGAAAGACAAAGATAACCCTGCTAATATCTTTTGATCACTATATTTTCCGTTATTAAATTAAAAAATAAACGATTATTTTACTCTCACATAGTAATTTTTCTATCCTTGTAAAATAATTCATACTTGAGATTTAAATTTAATTAAACACATATATTGATTTGGTGTTGGATCACGAATAATACGTAAATATTCAATACCATCACTAAGAATATATAATAAAAATAAAAAGACTTCAGAATATCAATTATATTATGATATATCATACTAAGCAGGATAGATGAATGTAATTAATTCTCGACAAGCTACATCAGCTGGAATAGCTAACATAGCTAACATTTCACTACGTTTTGGTTCATTATTTGTATTTAACGCTTTACTAAAAATATATAATTTATTAATAAATTAATTCAAGTATTTTATTTACTTGTCTTTATATAAATGTAAAATGCCTCGAGTAATATCAACAAGATGATTACCACAATAAAATGGAATTTGTAAATCAGGAGATGTTGATACATGAGTAGACAATTCTATACCTTTTAATAAAAATAAATCTTAGGATATTATTAATTATAGAAATTTTTTGTTTTAAATATTACGATTTGTATTATTGGTAGTTGTTGATACTTTTCGATTCTTTTTTGTTTTAGTTGTATCTTTCGTTGTTGGTAAATCATTAATATCAGAAAAAGTTGATTGTGTTGTTAATTGTTGTTGTTGCTGTTGTTGTTGTTGGGACTCATCGATTATTGTTGATTTTGGTATAGCATCAGGTTCGCTTGTATTTGAAACATTCATTTCTTGTTGTTGTTGTTGTTGGCGACGTTTCGATAAATCAAGATAAGTCATTTCAATAGCATCACTCATGACGTTTGATGATAGGGAACGATGATTTGGTAAAGGTAATGATTCTAAATTGGATAAAATCAAAGAAATAGCAACGATCATTGATAATTATCAATATTTCTATTCACCGTCAAACACATAAGTTTCGACAAAAAGTTCACGTGGTTCTCTTTGACCAGTACTAGCGGCTTTTACTGCAGATAAATCTTTATTATTCGTATTTGGAGGTAAGAATTCTGTTGGTTCGTGGAAAGGTGCTTAAAAAAAAGGTTTATCATAGTTAGTAAATAAAATTACTCAAAAAAAAACAATACCTTCGTAAACAATATATTTTAGTGTTTCTAAATCTGATTCAAAAGCGTCATCGATCTCGAGTCGAAGACAAACGACCATTGGAATATGTACGAAAAAATATTCAAAGTTTCAATACGATAAGTTAATACTTTAGTGCATATGAAACTGAAATAATAAAAGACGGAATCGTAAAATTTGCGATAACAAGGAAGAAAATATGTAAGCGCTCGCGTAACATGTCACATTTTCATGTTGATTGGGGGAATGTAATAACCATACAATTCAGATCAACGATGATTCATCAATGTAGGTGGCATGTATATACATGTAAGAATAAAAAAACCTATGAAATCCGAAAATTTATTATTCTCACTAGCACTCATTAATCCTATGATCATGTCGGGCCTGAAGAGGCAATTGAACTCCAGGACTGTAGATACGAGTAATGAATAGATTTAAAATAAAATAAAAATAAATAAATGAAAGAATGAGACAACAAAGATGGCATGAAAAAAAAACTGCCGAGAGCGCTGATTTCAGCCGCCGTCGCTCACTTTATTGGTTTACACATCTAACCACGAGAAGTAATTAAGACATAATGGTCTCGACAAAGCGACATTCCAATTCTTCTATATAAGCACATTTATTGTTACTCTAAGATTCTTCAATGTGAAAAGAATGATTTTTTATGAACAAACTATCATTGAACCTATGTATTATATCGTCGGGCGTGTTTATTGTGCCTTGTATACGACTATTAATTGAAACGTTTTTGTTTTATCTATCGACTGTCAGTATAAGTTAGATAAATTTGTTAAAATCATGCTGTGTAATTTTAGATGACCATCAAAATGATATTAGAAAGTTAGATGTCTAGTAGTAAGCAAACTCTTGAAATATTTACAGAAACATTGTATTAATTTAATAAACTATTAATGTCATCTAAAAAATTTGGTTTTTTCGTAAAGAATTTCAAACTTGAATTGACATAATTTCATTTTCTTCATCATGTTATAATACTTTTACTTAGGAAATTACATCAACTTAAGATTATTATTCGATTTTTACGTTATATTGTTTCTTAGAATTTATTAGAAAACAAAAAAGAGAAAAACAGGTTATTATATATAAGCTGAAAACACTCTGATTAGCTTTATATATTTCAAGGTTGTAGAGTGTCAGCTGGATTCATGAAATACTACAAGTACTCGATTTAGGTGGTGATGTTTTCATTGTTTCATTTTGACTATTTGGTAGATTGAAAATAGCATTTTTAAATCGATTAAATATATATTCTTCAAGTTCTTCTTCTGCATAATTTTTAGCATATCTTTGTTCGTATTTAATAAATTCTTTTGTCGAATCTTTACGCAATTTCACAGCATATTCGTGCATCTCAGCAACTGATTGAAAATCATATAGCTTCAAAAGACTATCGGGAACTTTGTAACTACTAAACCATGCATGAATATCATCAACTGTCCACTTTTCAAGTGGTTTGTTTACATCGAAATTAGTCGATGTGACTGTATCAGTTTGTTTTTTAGATCGTGTCGGTATCGTATGTTGTTCTGTTGGTTGTTGTAGAGGTTGTGTTTGTGTTGTTTTTATAGTAGCTTCAATTGTCTTCAAAAGTTCTTGAATTTTACTATGGTCAAGTTTTTCCGTATTGTTTTTGAAACGAACATATTTCAGTTCAGCAATGTGAATGTCTGCAAAATTTTACAATCATTGATTAACTGCATTAGAAAATGAAAGGAAATCCACAAACCATAGATGGAATCGGTACTAGCGACTTGCTGATCACCGATCTGGCTATCACTTAACGGTATTGTCTACAGGATATAGTAGTGGATCCACTGTGAAAATGAAACCTAATACAGAAGCTCAATCTAGGAAGTATCTGAATTCTGACATTTATATTTTTCTTGTTATACTCTGCAATGCTTCATACGTGAAATAGTTTTTGTTTGAAGAAGTTATAACCAATACTCTAATCGATATAATCTAATCAGCTAAGGCAGTACGAAACTTTCTTGTGATTTATTCATCTATGGGTCTGCACTGAGCTACTAGCTAAGCAAGATCAATGTTTCATAAATAAAAAAAATAAAACCTAGTGTGACATAAGATAACAACTTTTGCTTTTCAAAACTAGGTGGCTACTGATATTGGTTGTCAAAAATCTAGCCCATTCTCATAAACTCTACATTTGAGAAATTATGAAAAGATTTAGCTAAATATATAAAAATTCTTTATTTTCGTATGTCAACTCTATTGAATTAAGTTATTGCCTCATAAATATTATTGCAAATAATTGTTGTTAGACAGATTTTATGTAGCCTGATTTTGATATCAAGTGAACATTGATATTTATCATATATTTTTAAAGTCAACTAAAATAATGTTTCTTTGTAATTTGTATGTTTCAAACCTATATGACTAATCAGCAGCAGAATCAAAGAATATAGTTCTAGTTTACTCTTGTTTTCGTTTTGTTTTTCTATAAAATACATATTCAGAACTTATTTTAAACTTTTATTATAGTGAGAGTATGAAAATAAGGAACAAACAAAATAAAACAACGTACCCAGCCAATCACAATCACCTGGTTCACCGAGATAGACAGGAATGATTGACTTTTGGCGCTTGATTGCAAAAGTAGCTTCTTTACGACATGACTTACTATCGTAATATTCTTGTGAAAGAAGACAGAGAACTAGATTTGATTGTTTTATTCCAAGAGCAATTTTTTCCCATAAATCTTCATTTGACGTACAGTGATCTCGATCAATCCAAATTTCAAACAGACTTCTTTTTTTCTCAAGCTCGATAAGAATTCTATCACAAAACAGATTGTTACCATGAGCATAGCTGATCATGATCATTGGTTTTTTATCGCTAGTATAAGAGAGTAATTGAGAATCTGAGATTTCAGTCTTTTTACCATCGGATATTTCTTTCAGATTGTAGAGAATACCGTTAGCAGCTTTTGGCATACTCTCCATTGAACGCGGCACATATTCATCGATTGTTTCTTCACCATTATCCATAGCTAAACTATGAATAGTCTTCAAGAAATTTTTATTTTGTGCGAGCTTTGTTTTATATCGATCTTGAAATGAAATACTCCATAAAATATTCAATAGAGCTGTACATGTAAATTGTTCCAACTGATTTTTCTGGACGAATGCACCTCGAAATTTCATGAACAAATCGACAAATAAGTTAATTGTTGATGTTACATCGAGTTGAGGCTCAGTTTCTGCGTGGCTAAGAACATATTCGAGGGAGTGATCATCAACAAACAATTTTGTAAGCACAGCTAACGGTTCAGATACATGAAAGGCATATTCACCTCGATGATTTTCTGCCTAAATAAAATAGACTATTAACTTTTGTTAACGATAGTCATGGATATTATCTTGACACGTTCTAAAATTAGAAGTAACTATCAGTTTCATATAGCAGTTAATTATATTACAATAATCTCTACATGACATTCTATTACTCTAGTAGATTAGTACTTTAGTGTCATCTGAGAACTTCTTGGGACTAACATAATGATTTTTTTTGTGGTCTAGATGATATCCGTAGTTTATAAACGTTGGATAATTCTAGATTCATTAAGTTTCGGCAAAGGATATATTTGACTAAAAGGAGCTAAGACATAATTATAGCATTCATGGAACTGTGTGTCTGAATTTCTGGGAACTTGGACCCGATCGGGCCTGAATCTAAAAAGATGGAAAGTTTCCCAGTATCAACAAGTTTTTGTTGTAGAACTCACCTCAGCTGCTTGTATAGTGATTTGCAATAGCTGGTTAAGAATTCTGTTCATTCGTTTATTGTCTGAGCGAATTTGTTTAGGTGTAGAGAGTAGAGCAATCGCCATTGATACGAGAAGACTATTTAAATTGTCCAATGCTTCGCTATTGTTGCTTTGAATATTCTTAAGAATCACAAGACCATCGAATTTATTGAGTTCATCAGTACCTTCGTCATGTCGAGATATATTATGAATAATGCTGATGATTTGTCGAGCCGTTTCTGAAGATATTGGTATTTTTTGCAAACATTCTAGCATAGTTTTGACCAAACCAATACCAAGAAGCCATGGAACAATAACTATCCGATCAGACAGATTCCAAAAGAATGATAAAATACAATCTATGGTTTGATAATCAAGAACTGTTTCCTGTTCAGTGTCCATTCTAAACTGTAGATCGCGTTCCACTCTTTTATACATTACACTGAATGTATCAGTGTATTTGCGTGTAGTACTATCGGCATTTACAAACGGAATAAGCAAAATCTTGAAACTAAATAAACTTAAAAACAGATTGGTTATACACTTATAAGCTTCTTTATGTGGTATTTTTGTTTCTTTTTCATCATTCAAATACGAACGAATTTGTGATTTAGAAAGGAGATCGAGTGATGCAAAGAATATCTCACGTGTGAGAAGTATTTCATCTTCCATGAATATAAGTATTTGAAAAATAGATCCAATATGGCGCAGTAATTCAAGACAATCTTGAAAATCATTCATATGAGTAAAAGAGACTTTTTCGATAGTGTCGATCAATTCATTACATAATGGTATTGTTTGATGAATAAGATCTTGATGATTATCATCATTCTCACGCACTTGTTGAAATTTGTTTAACAATGGCTGGAATACTACACCAGAATCCGTCATGAACTCATTTGTTTCCAAAGACATATTATCCACAAAATTCTGAAATACTTGAACAATGTTGTCCATATCTTTGTCTTTACGTTCAAGTTTATTCTTCAACGAAAAATTGTTACTGTTTTGGTCTTCGTTTATATTATAAAAATGAATTTATAATTAGTGCAGTTATGTTGAATGTGTTTCTATGAAATGACAACAAAGTTCGGAGTCGCTGCATATTTAAACAAATACAACATTATTCTTTTTCTCTCATTGACTAACGACAGGCAGCTTTTTGTTATTTCATTGGGCGAAAAAAGAACACGTTGAAAGAACCAAAAACCAATAAGGGTTTCAAATGTTGATGAGAAAAAAAAGAAAGAACTGAAGAATAGAATTGCGTGTTCTCTATTATTACATTCATAACTATGATTTAGTTGACTTAAGAGACGAAGAATATTGACAAAACGTACAATACAAAAATAATGGCACAAATGTCGATCACTATTTCTGTTCGCTTGAAAGGTGCTGGAAGAAAACCTATTTTATCAAAAGATAGAGCTTTTCCTCCTCTTTCGAATCGTATATAACATATTTACAGACGAAAGAATCTCAACAGAAAAGAGAAGCATCTTTAAAAAGCATCCGCACTTTTCAGTCGGTAGAAAATTTTCTTCTCTTTGAAACAGTATATGGTTTATAGTTGCCATACATTCATAAATGAAATGACAGAAGAAAAAAAAGAGAACTACTCGCACAATAAATTTGTAAATTTTATATGAAATGATCAAAAACATCTTGCTAGACAGTAATCTATTTGATTTCTGTAGGTCCATTAAAAAGAACTTGTAAAATGATGCTTACTTTGACTTGTATGAAATTGATAAAAACATTTTGCAAAACGACAGTTTATTATAATTTACTATCATCTACAAGATGTTTTTGATAAGCTCATATACACGTTACAAATTTATTGCATGAATTCTTCTTCTGTTTCTCAGCTCGCTTCATTTATCAATGAGTGGCAAATATGAATCATATAACGTTCGAAAGAGGAGATAATTTCGTATCAACTGAAAAAAAATTGTCTTTCCAGAATTTGTTTATCGAAGGGACATAAGGATCAATATTTTATTCGGTTCTTTTATGGAAAAGTGCAGATTCTTTGTAAGGGTGCTTCTCTTTTCTGTTGCATCGTATCGTTTATAAATGTTTTATAAAAATAAGTTATATATATTTCGTCAGAGGAAAAGTCTCTATTTTTAGTAAAAAAAATGTTTTCATTCAGCACCCTCTTATCAAAATGAAACATGAATAGACATTTGTACCATGACTTTTGCATCGTACATTATTTCGTATTTTAAGAAACTTTAAAAATAAGACTCATCACTTTACTGACAGTTCTTTATGCTTATAAGGAAATGTTTACTGTTGACTTTAGAAAATTGAAACGAACTATATTATCAAAAGTGGAATCGAGAAAATCGTAATTTAATTAATTAGTATAACTGAAATAAAAGACTTGCAGTTCAATAATCATTTAAATGTTTGTTTCTTCTTTTTTTGACAAATATTAATGGAAAAATGGAAAATCAATTAACTATTTCTTGCCAATATGTGAAAAGAATTTTTTTTTCATGCTCCAATAAATTAATCATCGCCATAGAATGATTTACATAAATTAAGATTGATCTATTTTTAAAGCTGCACAGTTTCAAACATTCTAAGATGTCTTCTGAGATTATATTTGATCACTATATAATTGCTTGATTTGACTTATAAGGGAAGTACCCGAGATATCCAGTTCTGTTTTGATTCACTTATATCTCATTCAATAGAGTGTATTGGATTAAGAAAAAAACTTAACAGATTCAAATCTGTGGCATACAGGCAAAAATTTACGACCGTTTTGTTGAAAATTTTACTAAGAGTTTTGACCTGAAATGTCGTCTATGGATAGATTTAATAATCATTAAATGATAACCCTGAAAGTTTTAATGAAAACGAACATGTTTTTCTCGAGATAATTAATTTCTAAGTAGAGTTGATTATTATGTTCTCCTATGATAAATGGCTGTTTTCTATGGAAATTAAATACTTCGAGAAAAATATTTCCATTTTCGTTGAAGCTTTCAAGACTATCTAATGAATATGAAACTCATCCATAGGCAAACTTTCCAGTCAAAACTCTTCATTTTGGTATTTTGAGAATGTCTAGCTCTCAGTAAAAATTTTCATTAAAACCATCATAACTCTTCACTAGTAAACCATGCACTAAAACTTTTTGGAACTTTTCCTTATCTCAATATACTCTATTGAATAAAGGATTAATGAGCCAAAGAGAAGCTTGATATCTCAGATGCTTATACTCCTTAGCACAGTCATAAAAATTATGTTGTTCTAGAGAGTGATTTCAATCACTAAAACTGTTCATGAATAAGTAAAACATCTTCTGTCAGCATCTATATACATTATGGCATACAATTCTTCATTTGATTAGTTTAGCTAAGAAAAAAACAGAACTATCTTATGGAAAATCGGAGTAGTCATATGCTCAATGAACGCATTTATATTCAACACAAACTTGAACTTAGACAGAATTCGTTTTTAATTAGGCACAATGCTAGAAAATGATTTGTTTTTATTTAAAAATAAATTCTCTTTTTCGTGTTCTTTGAAAAAATGCAGCAGATGATTGTTTCTTTGAATTATACAGATTATTCATTTTCACTTATTCACATTGTCATGCATGCATGAATGACTACTTTCACATCTACATTATAAAATAATTTTTGAAAGTATTTTGATGAACAAGTGAATTAACCTTTTAAACGTTTCAGAGTATTGAGTTCCAAGAAAAGACAGTTATTATTTTACCATAAGGAATACATGAGTTAAAATATCCTTCATACTTTTATTGGAACATAACCATAGGTCTCGATGCAAGACGGGAGACCGTGGACTAGTTCTTTCTACTTTTTATGCCGCATTGGCAAAAATTTCAAGCAGTTATCTGAAGACCCTACCAAACTTTACAAGCTAGTTTTCCTCAGTTACTTTCTGCTAGACAAACTCCCTCTGACCGTCTGTCAAAATTTTAGTCCCTTACCATTTCTAAAAACTATCGAAAGTCCTAAATATGATAGAACAAAGCGTAACAACATAATATACTTATAATTTACATGTCATCTACGAACCACGTGGAATTTGAAGAAAAATATATATAGTTAAAAAATGTTACTCCAAAAAGAAAAGCTTCATCCTTCTTTCTTTTGTTTTTGGTTGAAGCTTGATAAGACAAACTAGATCTCAAACAAATATACTTGTGAGCTCTACATACCTTCTTAGATTTAATTAGACTTCAATTAAAATTGAACATAACTTAATATTCACATATACAAGCACTTCTTTATTCTAGTTTTAAACGTTTTAGGAATTCTGTTTTATTTTCCCTAACACATACATGTAAACTGATACTGAAGAATTGTTTTATGTTCTAGGATACTAATGCTATGATATATTGAAAGATGATTGATGGCTTACAATGTTATGAAGAATAAAATACGAGAATCTCATTTTGACTTATCTATCATTTGATTCCCTTCATTAGTTAATTTAAATTCATATTTTAAATTACTGAAATCTATGACACTTTTTTGTGTAGTTGCTGGAATAGCTTCCTTTTTTTGTGGTATAATAAAAATCTCAGTTATATTTCAAATGTAATTTTAATCTTACATTTTTTTTTCATTAAGAGAACAACACGCCGTTTGTTGTCAAGCAGTTGAAAAAATAACAAAACCTTGTTTATCTACTGAAACCAAGACTAACAAATGCATGAAAATACATAGAAACTATGTGTATTGGTTTTATTCATCCGACACAATGTTTTACTAGGAAACCATTGAAGTAAACTTTGTTCGACGACCATAACAAGGACGATGAAAATGACACAGAACAAATGCAAATATTGGCCAAATTTAGTTTGATAAGCATAATAAAGTTATGTTCTCTCAACTTAAAAAATCGGGTCTAGAAACGCAAATAAACCTCTTTCTGTCTATAACGTAGTGACCATATGGTTACTATGACACAAACTAAGACGTATAATAACAAAAAAGAGCATATATGCACAAGGATTAGAATTAACTAAGGAGCAATATCCCAAGATGAAGAGAAGGAAATCCGTATATTATACCAAGAGATACAATTGTAATGTTTAGACATTTAATACATCAATATGCGACGATTTACGAGAGTTTTTTTACGACCTTGGCTGCTGTTAGAAATGGCAATCGTTGTTATCAAACTATGAAGTGGTCCTACTGATCGTTCAATGCTGTGAAAGTGAGGATATTATATAATAATCATTAAGAGCTACAGCGTGAGTCTGAACATGAAATTATAATCCAGTAAATTCACATTATTTAAATTATATGACGTCAATTTACTTTTGTATGTGAAATAATGCACATATAACTAATTGTAAGTAATTGTATTGATTTCAATGTTATTTTGATAATCATATATAACAA